AGCCTTAAATGTCGTTCTAAAAGGCTTCTATTTCTGGCTATAAAAAACAGCTTATTCACATTTAACCATATAAATAAAGTTTTACCTAAACAAATTCTGTGGCACATTCTTTAAGGCCATATTCTCTCAAGTGGTCCATTCAAGTTGCTCGTAGGCCCTCGGAATTCCCGTACTTTGGAGTCTCGACTTATCCTCTGCCTACTTTGCTCAATGAAAGATTCCACTTTTTGCGTTTAAAAGGTGGCGAAACCAATTTTGGGTCTTGCGCCGTACAACGGTCTCCAGTGAAGCAGTGATGTCAGATTACTTCTCATTTAAAATGCATTTGGTTTTAAAGTCAAGTAATCGTTGCTCCAATTTTAATTTTTGTCCATGAGTTGAATCTCTAACACATCCTGTTTTGCACAACCTCGCAGCGTTGCTTTCTCTTCAAGCCTCCGTTATCACTGTGCTGTGGTCATAAATTCATTATTAGACTCTGGTCCTTAAAAAGCACATAGGGTGTGTGGATGCAGGAATCCATCCTCATTACGTCGAGGAAGAAGACAGGGAATTCACCTTAGAGAAGACAAAAAGGGAAGGTGGATGAGCTATTCTCGCCTCAGGAGACTCTGAATCAGCCCCAGGGGCAAAGGGAAGATGATGGTGGAGTTCTTCTCCGCGGAAATTGCATTGAGAGTTTGTAGATAGCGCAAGTGGAGGGCCAGTGGTGAATCCATCAGCACGTCCGCTGCCTCCTTCAAAGCTGCAGAGGAGCGCTTCTCACCCTCCGCCGCTATCACCTATCAATCAAACGCTGGTCATTTCATCTAGTCACTCAAACGGTCGCTAGTTAAGTCGCCACCCACTCAGTCAGTCATCTCTTCTCTCAAAAATTTATTTATGCTTTTGGCTTCTATCTAGACAACATATGGCAGGTGATGTCTTGATCTCCTTTTTAAATCAAAATGATCATTGGTAAAGCTCGCCAAGCAACACAGAGCATCTGAGGCATTACTTTGCTATGCTGTGTAACAGGAGGTAGAGCCATGCAGTTGAGTGTTTTGGAATCAATTACCGATGTAGAAGGTTTCATAATTAAGTGTGGATGTATTTT